AAAGCTTTTTATCCAACATTAAGATTATCTTTTATAATTCCATGTGATTCAACTTGAATTCTCGTTAAATTTGCTTCTTTTAAATCCTATTTTATAATTCATACAAAATTATTAAAAAAAGAATTTCATTTATAATACTTTTACAATAGTCGTAACTGGTTTGAAATTATTTTCATCTTTACCTCTAGATAAAAAGAAAACGTTCGATAAAACATTAAAACAAAATGAAAAAACAAAAAAAGACTTAAATTATTTACTTGGTTATTAATATTTCTCATGTTGTTGTTGAAAATAATTTTAAAACTTCAAGTGATTTACTTAGTTTACCCATTTTGTTTAATTTATATTCAATTCATTTATTTTAAAGCTAAATAAATAAGTTTAAACATTTTTTGATAATCATAATAAATGAATGAATAGTCGACGGAAAAAGTCTAACGTCGATTGAATATTCACCTTCGTCAATGAATGAACGAAAAACTATTCTACAAATCTTTATATTAGATCCATAATTTTGACTGTAAATTATTATTTTAAAAAAATCAATTACTGCACTTGTTCTATTTGAACTTCTGTTTTATTATATTATATTCAATCAATATGATCGTAAAATAGTATTTTTCTAAAACGTTATGTAATAAGTAACAAAAATCATTAAATTTATAAAAATTCCTTTTTCATTTTCTTCTTTCAATTATCTCTTATATATGCGTATGTTACTAATCAAAGAGAATAGTCGATAATTTTTTTTTGGGCGTTCTTCTTTCGTTCAGTCATCACTCGTATAATATGATATTGGGTGCACGACATCTCATTTGTTCTTACACATTCCAGATGAAAAGAAAAATAAATTGAACATAACATATGTAAAGACGACATAGATATCGTGCACTCAATACCACAGCATGCGTCAAAACAACCGGTTGTCATTGTACGCTGCGTGTATTACAATTCCGTCAACGTCGTCTTTCTTCGCGTTTCTCTGTTTCTTCTCGTTCTTCGTAACAGAAGAAGAAAAAATTTAAAACAAATGGAGCTTTCGGGGGTGGCTCTAAAACAAAATGAACCTTCCCAGGGATATCCGACGTTCTGTTGGTGACCTGTACAGGGGTGTAGATGGTAGGCCTTCATAACATACATGTATGTGTGACTAGAAGCATCCATCTCGTCATCTTCTTTCCGAAGATGATGATCATGGATGTACTAGTCATACATACATAAATGTATGTTTGCCTTATCATTGCCGGCTTTGTCTACTGTACAACCCAACAGCATACGGAGGGCATCCCTGGTCGCGCGTGCGCGAAATATTTGCAGCTGGTGCGCTTTGGCGAGCCAAATGTGTTCGAGAAGGGCAATTTATTTTCTCGCTTAAAAAAAAACAATTACATTTTCTTTTTCAGAAGTTCAATGTTTCTTTCTGTGCGTGCAGTACTTGGATGTCCTGGGGGAAGAGCTATTTTCTTGATTTGTAGCGCTCGTTCGTACGATGAAAGGGCTTTCGAGTACTCGCCCATGTTATGATGCACCAAACCGATGTTGTTGTAGGAAGAACCCAAGTCGGGATGATTCGGAGGGAGAGCTATTTTTCGGATTTCAAGTGATCGTTCGTGCGATGAAAGTGCTTTCGAGTACTCTCCCATGTGAGAATACACCATACTGATGTTGTTGTAGGAACCAGCCAAGTCGGGATGATTCGGAGGGAGAGCTATTTTTCGGATTTCAAGTGATCGTTCGTGCGATGAAAGTGCTTTCGAGTACTCGCCCATGTTATCATACACCACACCGATGTTATTGTAGGAAGTAGCCAAGTCGGGATGATTCTGAGGGAGAGCTATTTTTCGGATTTCAAGTGCTCGTTCGTACGATGAAAGTGCTTTCGAGCACTCTCCCATGTTATTATACACATTACCGATGTTGTTGTAGGAAGTAGCCAAGTCGGGATGATTCGGAGGGAGAGCTGTCTTTTGGATTTCAAGTGCTCGTTCGTACGATGAAAGTGCTTTCGAGTACTCGCCCATGTCATAATGCACCGAACCGATGTTGCCGTAGGAAGCAGCCAAGCCTAGCTGATTCGGAGGGCTCATTTTCTTGTAGATATCGACTGCTCTTTCATAAAATGTTATTGCCTTCGAATATTCTCCTATGTCTTTATACACCCACCCGAGTTGTAAATTGTAGTTCGCCCGATCTGCATCAGAAGATGTCCTTTCAAGGAGCAGCTGATAGAGATGTTCTGCTTTTGCAGGCTCACCCAGTTTAATAAGTATATGGCCAAGTCGGGCCCAACCTGTTGCCCAACTCTGCTCTTTGCGTAAATGTGCTGTAAGTTTGTTAAAATCATCGTCTTGATTACCAGCGAGGGCAAGATTCACTTGCCAGAGACGATCTGTATGCTTATCTTCAATACATTCTATACGATCGATGCGAAAAATTGTATGTGTCGAGAAAAGAATTTCTTCTTCTTTATCGTCGAAGAAGCTAATATCTTTGACGTTGACGAAAGGTGTTGATGAAGCTGTGCAAATAGTCGTATCGATGTTCATAATGAAGAGAATGCCAACTGTATTTGCATCGAATGCTGCCGGTCGTGCAAAGTTTTTGAAGGAAATATCACGATTACGACTTGTCGATAAGAAATTATTAAAGGACATAAGTCCACCTTTGGTTTTCCTCATTTTTTCAAAGGCTTCCATGGACAAGTTTTGACCACGAAAAACTTGAAATTTTGATGGCATGGCTGCTTTGCTGTTTTGCTGTTCACGATGTAAGTCTGTAATATGTTGATGTAGATGGCGGATGAAAAAGCCCATTTTAAGAATAATGTCGACATCCATTTGTCGAAGACCACGATTAAGCATTGAGTACATGAAATAAGGAGCCGTATACCACCAAATCGGTGTATGATCACGATATTCACGTTCGATTAGTTTAATTTGATCTTCAGATATATCTTCTTGTTCACGACAGTATGTAACAAGATCTTTGATAGATTTTTTATCATCATCTTCAATTTCTAAGACTGCTTCTTTCAAAAGTTGTGTGTACATAAACAATGCATCAAGACCATTGAAACTGATCGAGATCATAGCTTGATCACATCGCTGTCGATCAATTTCTAGGGCTTTACAAATTGGTTCAATTTTTGTGTATACACCTTTGATCTTCGGTACCTTATTGGCCCATTGTTCACGGTAAGATTGATCACCACAAAAAACATACACGGATTCTAATTGTGGTATGGCTTCCATTTTTGGTACAAATTTCTGTCCAAGTGAACTCGATACGATCATAAATGCCTTTTCCTTTGTAATGCCACTAAGAAAATCAAAACATTGTTGAGCATCCGTGAATGTTGTAATAGATACTACGATTCGTCGTAAATGTTTTAACGAATTTTGAAAATCTTCCTTTGATTCGTCGATATTGGCATCGAGCCAGACGAGAAGAAAATTCTGAATAATTCGACGAGCAGGTTGAGGAAGTGCAGTACTTCTGCCCATCGTTGACACTGATGCTGCTGTTGATGATGATGATGTTTTCTTTGGTTTATTTGTTGTGGATGATGAAGAAGATCCACTAGCAGTTGATTTTGAATATTGATTTTTATCCATTTGGATGATGTTGATAATAATAATGGTCTTCTGTTTTTGGTTAATGAATAAATAAATAAATAAATAAAAATCGAAATACTTGTTGGATGGTGATGAAAAGAAAGAATGAGCAAAAACAGAATTCGTCTCTTTCTCTCTGTAGATAGTTTTTATTTTGGTTTTTTCTTCTTTCCTGTTGATACTTTTTATTTTTTTGGTTTATTGTTGTTATTACTATAGAAGACTTAAAGGATTTCTTATCTTAATCTTTTGTTCGTTCGTTTTTGTTTTTTATTTCAAGAGTTTTGTTACTGACGAAACGATAATGACAAAACATGTGACGAGCAAAATCTCTGTGCATCTGGCATGAAAACGAAGAATCCGTCCAAAAAAAATGAATAATTAGACTACTGATCGATCGTCATTCGTAGAAGAGAAAAAAACGAAAGATTATGAATAGAATCTCAAAATGAATTGCTTCATATATTGTTTATTTTCATTGTTTTTTATTTTTCGTTTGCTTTTATCTGGTATCATTAGAAAATTCTTTTATCTTTGTCAATGTTTCTATGTGCAAGATACCTAGAATCAATAAAATAGGCCTCCTACCAAAAGACAAATCAAAATAAAAAAGAAAAAACGAAGCTACTCGTTTCTATTGTGACCTTTTTCCTAGCAAAGTATTTATTTTAATCATAATACAGTGTGAAAGCAAAAGAGAAAGCAAATTCCTTTTTTAATTAATGTAAGAATCTTTAAAACATTTTTTTTTCTGAAGATACAACAGAAGTTTCTTTAGTTTTTCGATAGAGATCATTCTCTTTTTTTGTTGAATTGGTTGTTTTGCTCAAGTCATTATGTTTTGTTATCTTTTGAAGTTTGCATCGATATCTAAACAAGTCGAGGAAGAAGCAGAAGGACAAACGACAATAAACTCATATAATAAAATCGATCAATGTTACTTGCATTGTTGTGAAGGTTTTTTCCAACATCATCATTGTAAGTAGATAGTAAGAATGAGCAACGAAATAATACCACGTATAGGTGTGATATCCTATAGATATTATACTAATAGATTTCCACTAATAATGTATGAATTTTATTTATGTTAAGAGATATCAATAAAAACATGATTTTTTGTCATTATTTCTAATACTATATATAATAAATCGAATTCAAAAATGTTTGTTCTTGTTATGTGTATTATAGTTTAATAGAATTTATCACATACAACTAAATGTTATAACAGTACAACAAGAAAACAATCAAAAAATGTGCCTATCAAACATACAATGAGTAGAAATAGAATTCAAAAAATATACACACACACACATGACTGAAATGAGAAAATATAAACATATACTAATTTTTATGTATTAATAATTCGATATTGTACATAAACACAGTATGATGGTTTTGTTAGATCATTATCATTATTCAGTTGATATATCGTAAGTCAAAGATTATTGAATGAATCAATATAAATTATCTAATAGTTTAAAACAATATAGGAAACATTATTATTTACATAAATTAAAAAGTAAACATACTTATTTTTTGTTGAATGCAATAATTTTCATTTATAATAATAAAAGTCAACACGATGATATGGTTTATATTCAAGAAGTGTTTTTTTGAAATATAATATATATAAGTAAATGAACGACTTAATATTGAAATATAAAACTTTTTTTATTTTAACAGCAGCGAAAATGTTTTCTAATTGACAATATCAGCTAAGAAAGACTATCGAAAATGACACAACTCACATTTGCAAGTTATTTTCAATCTATCTCGTTTAGATCGAAGATAAAAAGAAAAAGAATGTATAATGATGTCATCGTATAGTAAAAACAATAGTTTGCTAGTTATAAACAGTCTATATGTATACTATACGAAGAACGAAAAACATTCAATGGTCGTGTTGTATGTGTCACTATGTAATAGTCCCAACGTAATTGCACAATATCAGTTGGTTCCATAATAAAGATAGTCTATATAGAATTTACTTTTGCAGTTTTTCTGCAAAAGTAAATTCTGTCATTTTCGATAGTCTTTCTTAGCTGATATTGTCAATTAGAAAACATTTTCGCTGATGTTAAAATAAAAAAAGTTTTATATTTCAATATTAAGTCGTTCATTTACTTATATCGGTTTCATCTTACTGTCATTGACAGCCTACACCCATACTGACACCTATACTCTAGATCCACACACCCACACTCCACACCCAAACACCCACACCCAAACCTACACCCACACACCCGTACCCACCCCATAGTGCACACTGAACAGGTTCTTTATAGTAGCATTTTTTTGTAGATCTAGTACTGACATGAATGTGAGCTGGTGTAGGTTTGGATGACGAGAAGATCCACACCCTTACATAAGATTGGATCTTTTTTCGAAAGCAAACCCTACATACACGATAACGAGATACTGTGGGAGAAAAAAAAGCAGATTTTAATATTGACTTGGTTATATTGACCACTTGCGATAAGACTCTCTTGTGCTCTCTGTTTGCCAATAAAATATCGCTTCTTTTGTTTGACTATATTCATATTATGTACTTCGTCATAAATGTTTGACGAACTTCAAGATACGATATAGACACCGTCGTCTGTTTGCCAAGATTGTGTTGCAAAAGATCAATTTTTTTCAAGGGAAAAACGACAGACTCCAATCCTTTGGATTCTCTTGAAGTCCGTCGGAGTCCTTTGAAGTCCCATAAAATACTCAGTAGCTCTGCAAAAGCCTATCATAAAAATCTAAGACAGCTACAGCTTGTGTATGGGTGTCAGTGGATGTGAGTTTTCTCTTCACGCACATACTCATCCGCCCGCTCACGGCCAGATCCACATTCACACTTACACCCACCCAACCCCAAAAGAATGATAGAAATTTTTTTTGTTTTTTTTTAGGGAAATGTAAATTGTGCTTCATTTGTAGCAGGTATTATTGAAGCTGTTCTATGTTTGAATGATTTTACATGCTAAGTTCTCGCTCATCAAGAACAGCGTGGCACAATTTATCTAATTAATTTTTTCAAATCGGTAACGGAACAGGAAAGTTGATTTGATAGTAAATGAATACATAATTAATTAAAGTAAATTAGTTCTTTTTAAAGATCAAATTTGAAATTTTTCGTTGATTTGTTCCAGATGTATGCCAAGAGGTGGATAAAAATAAATAAATAATGATAACTTCAACTTCTATGAATTAGATAATCAAGAATTAGAACAACAATTAAATCATGTAATGAATATGAATGACAAAAACAATTTGCTATTCTTCTTTTAAATGAACATGAATTTGAACATGAATATCATAAAGAACAATTAAAACAATTACCAAATCCTCATATCAAGTAAAAAAAAGATTTTCTTTTAAATTAATCTTTTAAAAAATTCTATTTTAGTGATGATAGACAATGTGAATCGAAATTTAAAGAATTAGAATTAGAATATGAACGTAATAAACAGGTCTTAACAGCACGTATTAAAACAGTTACAATGTAAAATTGATTTATTAGTTGAAGAAAACCAACAACAACGAATAGTAGTTATTTAGACATTATCCCTTTTTTCCATATATTATACTGATATTAATATTTAGATGTTTCATTACCAGATGGAGAAGTGATTGAAACAATTTCTAAATCTCAATCTACACCATGTCAATTACCATGAACAGTTTCTGAAGCAGCACCTCCAACGAATGATTCATCACCACCATCATCTAATTCTGAAAAATCATCTATATCATCAATAGGTGATATTCACCGTCCAACTACTATTTCAACACCATCATCAAAAAATGCTCATAATGTAATAACAAAAATAGGAATTGTTCCTCCATCAATTCTAACACATACACAACAAACATCATCTATTCTTGAATTACCTTTATTACCGGTACCTATTGTTGATAAACGTAATGTTATACCTACTCAGTCAATATCAAATGTTTCTTAATCTTCAATCACGTCAAAACTTCATTCATCACTAAGAAATAGTCAAACATCAATATCATCTATTCGATTGGTTCATCAACAACAAGAAATAATGTTATACGTAGTGTTGGTGATGTCTCACGTTTAACAAAAACTTCATATTAAATTGTTATAACAACAACAACTGGCCTAGCAAAGTGACCTGACCAGGTAAATCAATGGAGTTTTTTACTTATCTAATAAAGAAAAGAAACGATAGTTAGATAATTCAATGCGTGGCTTCGTATGTTTTCTTTTATTATTTATTTCGAGACAAAAAAAGGATTACTCTTATAGTTCTGTATTCTTTTCTCTCAATCTTGTAGATAAACTTTTCGTCAGAACATAAAATTGATGATCTACGAACTCTTCCGTCCATCTACCCATGTAACCATGAAACGCATTTTAGATGCAGCTAGACACGTTAATGTCGCAAATCTTCGGCGTTCTAACGCGCTTTTATATTGAAGCATGACGAAAATGCATCAATCACTGTGTTTCACGAATGTGTTTAGAGAAAATTCATAGTTTCGGAGCATATTTTTAGACTAAATGCATAAAAATGTATTTAACCTTTTATTATGAAACGGGTTGGGACGCATTCATATCATTTTATACCTCTGATCACGTTTAATGCTGGAAAGAAGCTATGTCTCTTCCACTAACGCTATTTAATTGACAGCGTCGAAAAAACGCGTTTCATTGAATGCTTTCGTCAATCTGTCAAATTTGCGAAAAGGCGTTTAGATCCACTGCTTTCTGGAATACAGTTGAACATATAGTTATATAGTTTAGTTGATGAGAATAAATACTTTAATATTGTGATTGGAGGAAATTCTATTGTGTAATTATATTAGATTTAGAAGGTAGTAACTGAAAGAAAAAGTTGACTTTTCTAATTCATTTGGTTAAACATATTAGCTTCTCTTAACTCATTTGAACAAGAATAAGAAGCCGAAGCATATTTCTATAAATAGTTCTTTATGACACATATTTTAAGCAGGATAATTTTTCACAAATATCTCTTTAAGTTTTCAATCGATAATTATTATCTTGTTTTCATTATTTCTGCGTGCAGCGATTAAGAATCATACAAACCTATCTATTTTTATTGAAATTAGAATAACTCAATGATATTCTTTTTATCACTCATGTATCCATGCTTGACCTCCTAAAGTGTCCCTGAATGTCTACAAGCTATGCAACTTGACACGTTTGAACACATCCAAAATGTAACATTTTCGGAACTCTGAACGCGTTTGAAACGAATAAACGTAACTTCCTACATTCCAGTTCTACAGCATCCTAACTTGTTTATATCAAAAGATGCTGCTTGAACGCGTCCAAGATGCAACATTTTAAGGCGTGTAAACTCGTCTCTGTTGAAAACGCACTAATATACGTTTTCTGACTTTTCTACTTATGATACTATCATGAAACAAATGCGTTTACTTTATTCGTAAAAAAGTCAGAAAATAGTCATCACCTTGCGTCAGAAGCAAACCAGAGTTTAGCATTCAGACTACATCACTATCATTAAAATATAATTAAATTGGGTTTGATTGAACAGATTAATCATATAAATTAGTGCGTCTATGATAATAGATTGTTATCTGCAGATATTTTATTGAAAATATTTAATTTTTATTGAAATTATATGTCTCGCTCTACGTTACTTCTAAAATACTTAAGTATGAGTAGACGGTAGATTATAATCTTAAAGCTATTGCCCACTTCATCATTTATTTCCTAGGCAAACAAATAAATCCTTTGAATATGATACTTTTATTGCAACTATTTCATTTTATTGGAATTTCACTAGTGCTTTTTCAAATAGAGTTGTTGGCTTATCTTTATTGTGCTCTATAATAAAATGACTTGAAATGAAACTTTTAGATTCATGCAATAAAGATAAATACATTACGAAATTTTATTACTTATAAACATAAAGACAAATAGTTTTTTTACATTTTATGCTTTTAAGAAAAAGATAAATGAATATATTATTCATAAGACTAAAGAAAGTTAAATGAAAATGACGGTTTATTTCTAAATAAAAACTTAATATTTTACTTTCCTCCAGATACCTAAAAGAATTTTGATATCATAATCACAAAAAATTACATAGACAAGAGGGTGTGGGTGGGTGTGGGTGGGTGTGGGTGAAGAAGTGATAATACTCTCACACCCACACCCTTTAGGCAAAATCAAGTGAAAGTGAAAGCTTCAGGAGAGAAACATAAATGCCGGAAAAATAAGGTTGTCCTTTGCTTCTTTTATTCTCAACAAAGAATTGTTGAATTACAATCTTCGTATCATATTACAAGAACAATTGCACAGATAACTCGTGTCAAAAAGCAGAATATGGATGTGTATTTGTGCTAGACGAAGTTGAGATTTAGGCGAAATTAAGCACAGTTTTTTAGATAGTTAAAAATAAAAAAAAAACAAAAAAGATGAGAATCAAGTTTAGATTGTTATTTCACATATAAACAATAATAAATTGACTGTAGTTATTTTGTTCAATAGAACATATATATTTCGACAATATTTTCTTATATTTTTTGGACATAGAGACGTTGAATAATTGGTGAAATTTCAATCATTAATAGATTGATTGTTCTTTTTATATCGACAAAATATTTGCGATGTATCTTTTTCTTTCGGGACATGGAAACATTGAATGATTGATGAAAGTTTTTGAAAAGATTGTTGCTTTTTTAAAAGTATGTATTTACACGAGCAGGAAGTTCATGTGACAGATTTTTAAAAATTATGGTAAATTACAATACATGTGTGTCCCATAATCATGATATTATAGCATAAAGCTAAATCCACAAGGCCTCTACCACATTATACAAAAGTAGTTACACAAGCAGCGTGACATACACAACTAGATGTAGTTTTTGACGCTGATTTCAATGGTGAAAACCGCAGCTCTCTATCTTTTTCGAAAAAACAATTATAAGCTAAATACCCTCCCAGCCAAAAACTGCTTTTTCCTTCATTTTCCAGCGGAAATGACCCATATTGCAAAGCTTCGTTTAGCTAGAGGACATGCCGTAGAACCTTCATGTTAGTCTCAAATAAAAGAGCAAAGCGAGTTCTATACGTTTCGGTGAAAAAAACTCATGCCAGTACACAACATCTGGGTGAAAAGACTTCTGGAAACCCAGAGGGTTTTCAAGGAACTCTCTCTTATTATTGCGGGTCAAAACCAATGAAAATCACCTTTTATGTTATTTTTAGCACAGAATCCAGATCTGACATTTAGACACCTGTGCAGGAATGTGTTTTTTGTGTGGTTTCTACAAAACTTGTGAGGTTTTCATAGGCTTTAGACGCTTTTTATGCTAAAAACATTGTTTCGGTTGCAGCTATTTATACTCTTTGTTTTTGCTTCTCGATTTTCAGGTAAACTAATCTGGAACTTTTTTCTTTTAAACTAGAGAAATGTTCAACAGTTGAATAAACAATGAAAAATAATCCCCAGTGTCAGCTGCCAAGTTTGCCTGGGTCATCAGAGTGCCACGTCTCAAAGCTGCAGTAGCCGAACTGGCTTTCTTAGTGCCGACAAACTATTTAAGAAAGAAGCAGAAGACATAGTTTTTGTATACGATAGTGAAACCCGGTGAAACCACCTAAAACCTATGAAAACCTCACGAGTTTTGTAGAAACCACACAAAAAACACATTCCTGCACAGGTATCTAAATGTCAGATCTGGATTCTGTGCTAAAAATAACATAAAAGGTGATTTTCATTGGTTTTGACCCGCAATAATAAGAGAGAGTTCCTTGAAAATCCTCTGGGTTTCCAGAAGTCTTTTCACCCAGATGTTGTGTACTGGCATGAGTTTTTTTCACCGAAACGTATAGAACTCGCTTTGCTCTTTCATTTGAGACTAACATGAAGGTTCTACGGCATGTCCTCTAGCTAAACGAAGCTTTGCAATATAGGTCATTTCCGCTGGAAAATGAAGGAAAAAGTCGTTTTTGGCTGGGAGGGTGTTTTGCTTATAATTTGTTTTTCGAAAAAGATAGAGGGCTGCGGTTTTCACCATTGAAATCAGCGTCAAAAACTACATCTAGTGATGTATGTCACGCTGCTTGCGTACATGGTCGATGTAATGATGGTAGAAGCCTTGTGGATTTAGCCATATGTAAAATTTTCTCTCACAAATGACGATACCCGCTCATTTTCTCACCAACACTTCGATTTAATTAAATCAGTATTATGTGACTGTCCATTCTGCATCATTTTTCTACTGTCGACATTCATTTATTAGATTGAGTGAATTCAAAAAAGAAAAGTCTAAATATATTGACAGTCATTTCATCTTCTAAACTCTCTGAGACGAATGCTGTCTGATAGTGAGTAATTTGCTGTATGTGTCGTCATTGGAAAATCATTCAAACATTAGCAGTAAAATAAAGCAATGAGTTCTGTTATCATCTTGAGCTACAGTGATAATCTCTCTGTTGATTCTTGCTGCAACATTGGATGTTTTGTCTGCTGATTAGAACAATAATCATGTCATAATAAGGAAAGGAGATACAACAACAAGTTGTGAATGTCAAAGTTAACTTGTTACAGTAATACTTCGTGATATATTTCATGAGATTAATGAATCGTAGAACGTCACAATATTTCGAAGAAAGTTTAATCTAGAAGCTCGAACGAAAAAACTAAGCCTTATACGCATTTTTTCACTGATAAACTATGGAGTCACATCCTATTCTCTTGTTATATTCTAAGAGCAAAACATGATAAAGAGCTTAATATTGTATACCTACGTATTTGCTGTTATCTTTGAATCGATGCATTTTTATCTAACGTCTTTGCTCTCTTAACTGTCACAGCTTGATATCATCAAGTAGAGATCAGACATTTTGAAAATACGCCCGTATCTGATCAAGTCTTTAGCTGACAAACATACATATCAATACATTTTTGTCTTTGAGTTTTCGTAATTTCGATCATGTCGACTTTATGGATTTTTTCATTTGTTTCTCTTCATTTGTTCATGCTATACACTGCTTTTACGCAAGAGACACAAATACAACGATGCGCGAAAAACTGCAATATTGAATTAAACATTAATAATCCTTTAATTTGGCCTAATGAATGCACGACGTCTGAAGAAATTTCCGCATACTGCAGTGTGGAGATTATTGTTTCGTATACGACGCAAAATATATCCATTGTTTTTCAACAGGGTTCTTTCTATAATTTGTCAGTTGAGAATGTAATACTCGGCCCAGTTTGGACAACTTTATCACGCACATTTCACCATGTCTTTGAAAGAAATGAAGCAACACGTACTCGATTTCTATATGAATGTTCCACAGGCGCTGACGAATGTGACAAGAACTATGTGAATGTACATTTCATTGATATGATACCAAGCGATAACCATGAAAAACTCGTCGAGAAACTCAGGCCTCTTCTTTATAGTCGATCACCAAACGTTCAACAGTGCTACGGCAGCTCCGGTCACCCTATTCCCTGCCACAATGGGTCATGTGGATATATCGGTCCCCCACTATCACCTCCGAAATGGACTTGCACATTGAGTAACGAAACTGCTGACTTTGCAAGGTTGTTTTATTTCATGACGCGCGCCAACCCTAGTCCATCAATATTCGATTTTGACACGCTCTCATATACTTGCAATGTTGATCAATGTAATAATCAACGAACACTAGATGCTCTTAAGCATATTTTCGACAACGATTGGAGCATTACAACGAACAGCACAACAAGTACTACTATGAGTACTAAAAAGCTAACTACGACGAGCGCTACAATGAGTACTACTATGAGTACT